AAAAAAAAAAAAATAGCTATCTAATATGGCTTTGTGCCAGGTTCCTATAGTCCCAAGCTACTTGGGAGGCTGAGGCAAGAGTATTGCTTAAGCCCAAGATTTTGAATTTGAGATTGCCGTGAGCTATGATGCCACGATACTCAACTGGACGACAAAGTAAGACTTTGTTTTAAGAAAAAAGAAGAAATCAAAATAAAGCAGGTTATTAGGGCTTGGTGCCTGGAGCTCAGCGGCTAGGGCACCAGCCACATACACCAGAGCTGGTGGGTTTGAATCTAGCCTGGGCCTGCTAAACAACAATGACAACTGTAACCAAAAAATAGCCAGGTGTTGTGGCAGGCACCTGTAGTCCCAGCTATTTGGGAGACTGAGGCAAGAGAATCGCTAGAGCCCAAGAGTTTGACGTTGCTGTGACCTGTGATGCCACAGCACTCTACTGAAGGCGTCGAGCCGGAGTCTTGCTCTTGTTCAGACTTTTCTCTGACTCAAGAGATTCTCCCAGGGCACGGGATGGGGGTGTTTGGTACATCGTTCGTGTGGGACATAATCACAAGAGGGACTCTATCTAACAAAATCAAATATTTTGACCTGGTTGTTTATGCCCTCACATTAATCTAAAGTAAATGTACTTTAAAAAAAGAAAAAAGAAGAGATCCTACCACCTTGGCCTCCCAGAGTGCTAGATTATAGGCATGAGACACTGTGCATGGCCAATAATTGTTTTATTTTTATTTATTTTTTTGAGACAGAGTCTCATTATGTCGCCCTTGGTAGATTGCCATTGTGTTACAGCTCACAGCAACCTCAAACTCTTGGGTTTAAGCGATTCTGTTGCCTCAGCCTCCCAAGTAGCTGGGACTACAAGCGCCTGCCGTAATGACTGGCTATTTTCTTGTTGCAGTTGTTGTTGTGTAGCTGATCCCAGCCGGGCTTGAATCCGCCTTGTTTGGTGCATGTGGCTGGCTTTCGCCGTAACCCCTGTCCTATGGATGCCGAGCCTGGTGTTTTATTTTTGGAGACAGAGTCTTTGTCACCCTCTGTAGAGTGTGTGGCATCATAGCTCACATCAAACTCCAACTCTTGGGCTCAAGTCATTCTCTTGTCTCAGCCTCCCAAGTAGCTGGGACTACAGGCGTCCGCCACATTACCCTGGGTCAGGCTGGTCTTGAACCTGTGAGCTCAGGCAATCCACCTGCCTCAGCCTCCCAGAGTGGTAGGATTATAGGCATGAGCCACGTGTCTGGTCCGAATAACTGGTTTTTGAAGTATGGTTTTAGGGTTCTAAGAATGTCATTTGCGCTGATGCACAGAAGCACCGGTGCTTACTGCTGAAGGCTTAGCACAAACCAGTGCTGATGAAATAGGAAAGAATCCTAAAGCACTCTATACCAAAGCATGGTGGTTGTCTTGAGGAAAAGCACTTGTGTTATTGTTTGAGTTACTAGTTGAACTAGCTACTTTTTTTTTTGAGACAGGGTCAGTCTGTCACCCTCGCTAGAGTGCTGTGGTGTTATCATAGCTCACAGCAACATCAAACTCTTAGGCTCAAGTGATCCTCTTGTCTCAGCCTCCTGAGTAGCTGGGACTACAGGTGCCCACCACAATGCTGGGCTAGGTTTTATTTTTTAGTAGAGAAAGGGTTACACTCTTGCTCAGTCTGGTCTGGAACTCTGGAGCTCAAGCAATATGCCTGCCTTGGCTCCTAGAGTGTTAGGATTACAGGCGTGAGCCACCATGCCTGGCTTAGCTTGTCACTTTGAAGAAAATAACTGGCAGTATTTGCTGCCTGGGCTTTCAAGTGAAAATTGTAACTTTGGCAAATGGCATCTGCCACTATGAGCCTGGTAACTTCCTGATACTTAAAAGAATAATGAAATCAGTGGTGTGATATTAATAAATGTGATTTTAAAAAATGCCATACAATGAATGATGTCAATATTTGAAACACCTATGTAACTCTATAAACCAGTAGTTTGCAAGGATCCAGTGCATGATTTGAAATCATGTATGGCTAATTAATCTGTTCAAAGTGCAAGACAGACCAATGGATTTTAATTTAATAGAATACAAAGAGATTGTTAGTTTGGTTTCAGAATCCACATTACTGCTAACCTTTAAGAAACTGCTGCTTATGGGCAGCGCCTGCGGCTTAGTGAGTAGGGCACCGGCCCCATATACCGAGGGTGGCAGGTTCAAACCTGGCCCTGGACAAACTGCAACAAAAAATAGCTGGACATTGTGGTGGGCACCTGTAGTCTTAGCTACTTGGGAGGCTGAGGCAAGAGAATCGCCTATACTCAAGAGCTGGAGGTTGCTGTGAGCTGTGATGCCATGGTGGCACTCTACTGAGGGTGACAAAATGAGACTCTGTCTCTAAAAAAAAAAAGAAAGAAAAGAAAAACTGCTGCTTGTCCTGGTGCCTGTAGCTCAGTAGTTAGGGTGCCGCCCACATACACCAGGGCTGATGGGTTAGAATCCAGCCCCGATCTGCTAAACAACAATGACAACTACAACTACAAAATAGCTGGGTGTTATGGGGACGCCTGTAATCCCCACTACTTGGGAGGCTGAGGCAAGATAATCACTTGAGCCCAAGAGTTTGAGGTTGCTGTGAGCTGTGCTACCATGGCATTCTACTGAGGGTGACATAAGAGACTCTGTCTCAAAATTTTCTCCCTTTTCCAACTTTTTTTTTTTTTTTTTTTTTTGAGACAGTCTTACTTTGTCACCCTGGGTAGAGTGCCATGGCATCACAGCTCACAGCAACCTCAAACTCTTGGGCTCAAGTGATTATCTTGCCTCAGCCTCCTGAGTAGCTGGGACTCCAGGTGCCTGCCACAATATGCCTGGCTATTTATTTATTTTTTGAGACAGTGCCTCAGGCTGTCACCCTGGGTAGAGTGCTGTGGCATCACAGTTCACAGCAACCTCCAATACCTGGGCTTACTCAATTCTCTTGCCTTGGCCTCCCACGTAGTTGGG